GCACACATGGCAGGCACTCTCGCCTTTGGCAAGGCGCAGTGCGACGCGGGCAGGCGCGAGGACGCGCCCTCGTGCGCGTGCGGCATCGTCAGCGGCGGCGGCGGCGCGTGCTGCGCCGTGAGCTGCGGCGGGTGCGACGCGTGCCCTCACCCGGGCGCCGTTGCCTACCCGCAGCTCTGCTGCGCGAACAGCATACAGGAGCGGCGCGCGCCGTGCCGCTCGCCGTTCGAGGTGGGCTGTGTCGTCATCCTCTCTCCTCCCCTGCCGCCGCCTTCGCCTCTGCCGCCGCCGCCGCCCTCTGCTCCGTCACCGCCACCGCCACCGCCACCGTCACCGCCGCCGCCCTCTGCTCCGTCACCGCCACCGCCACCGCCACCGTCACCGCCTCTGCCCCCGCCACCGTCACCGTCACCGCCTCTGCCCCCGCCACCGTCACCGTCACCGTCACCGGGCCCGCCCGCGCCTCCCTCGCCGCCGCCGCCCTCACCGCCGCCCTCACCGCCGCCTCCGTCTCCACCGCCGCCGTCGCTGCTGTCCTCTCTTTGGGACGTAGGCATGCTGAGTGGCGCCGCCGCCGTGCCCTTTATGTGTGGGGCGGCGTTGGTGGTGGCAGTGGCTTGGGTGGCCAAGAGGGGCTTCCAGCGTGGTAGAGAGACGCGCTTCCAGCGGATGGCGGACGATGGCGGCACCGCCGTGGTGACCGAGCACTCAAACGACTCCTCTATGTTGCTGTTCGACCTCGCGCGAAACGCGAAGAGGGCGCAGGAGGCCACGCTCAAGGAGAAGATTGAGGAGGCCACGCTCAGGGAGAAGATTGAGGAGGCCACGCTCAGGGAGAAGATTGCGGCGCTCTCCAGGGAGCTTGCCCAGATTGAGGCCGCCACCGACGAAAGCCCCCCACCCGAGGAGGGGCGGCCGGAAGATGGGAAGGAGGGTCGCGGGGCACGCGGCGCGGCGGGGCGAGCCGACATGACCGAAGAGCGCGAGTGTGCGGAGCAGCCGGAGGTGGTGAGGCGCTCGATGTCGCCCCTCGTCGAGCCGACGCCGGAGCCCCGCCTGACGCCCATTCTCGTCGACGACAGCAGCTCTGCTCTGGTGGCGATCGCAGAGGCGGGCATTGCGCCGCTGGTGGCGCTGGCTCGCGACGGCACGGAGGCGCAGAAGGAGGAGGCCGCGGCGGAGGCGGCGGAGTTGGCGGTGCTCGCCGCCAACGACGCCAACGAGCTGGCTATCGCGTAGGCGGGCGGCATCGCGCCGCTGGTGGCGCTGGCTCGCGACGGCACGGAGGCGCAGAAGGAGTGGGGCGCGGCGGCGCTGCTCAACATCGCTGCCAACAACGCCAACAGGCTGGCTATCGCGGAGGCGGGCGGCATTGCGCCGCTGGTGGCGCTGGCTCGCGACGGCACGGAGGCGCAGAAGGAGAATGCCGCGGGGGCGCTGCGCAACCTCGCTGCCAACGACGCCAACAAGGTGGCGATCGCGGAGGCGGGCGGCATTGCTCCGCTCGTGGCGCTGGCTCGCGACGGCACGGAGGCGCAGAAGGAGAATGCCGCGGGGGCGCTGGCGGTCCTCGCCGTCAACGATGCCAACAAGGCGGCGATCGCGAGGGAGGGCGGCATCGCGCCGCTGCGCGCTGGTGTGGCAGTGGCCCGCGATGAACTCGCCTAGAGGGTAGAGCCGCATGACGTACCCGACGGGGACGCCACCACCCTCGCCCAGGGATCACAATGCTCGGACTAGACATTGTGCGAATTTCGGCGGTCGCGTGTCAAGTGTCGCCTATGTGTTGTTAATGGTTGGGTAAAAGCGTGTTGAACACGCTCGGAACGCCACCCATGCATGTTCTCTCGGAGCGAAGAGGTCGATGGCGCGACGAGTCGCGCCGGCCGGCCGCCGGCCCGCCGGCCAAATGCCAGCCAGGGACTCAACGGCTACAGGCGCCCTGCATGGGGCCCATGGCGTAGAACTAGAAGGCGTTGTGATGAAAGGGCAGCGCGGTCAGCACGACCGAGATCTCGTACTCGTCCCCAAAAGGCAGCCTTGCTTGAGGTCGTCGAGCTGGTCGAGGTCTCGAGGACCCTCTTGCAGTGCGGACACTGGAGGTCCAGGTGGATCTGCCACTTCACCATCCTGCCCTCGCCAAAACGAGACAACATGTTAGAGTTGTTTGGTATTGAAAATCTCTCTCTCTCCCCAACGAGAGCCGACGGATTCGCTGATGAATTCTAACACGCTGAAGATTTTTATTTCAGTGTATGTGCTATGTGGCTCTTACGTACATTCCCGTAACAGGGTTTGCGATGAGGAGTGACCCGATGGATTTCTCGGAGGTTAGTGCACCACTAACCGCCGACCGAAGCGCAAGCGCTTGGAGCAAGAGAACTGCGACGGATCGGTCGGTCTCATACTAGCACCCCACCTCGCGGGCCGATCTTCTGGCCCAGCAAGGCTGCTGCGGAGCACTCACGGGCCGGTCTCCTGGCCCAGCGAGGCCGCTGCGGGGCACCCGGCGGCTCGGGTCACTTCTCAACAAATAACTCCACCCTAAAAAAAGAAAGAAAACACACAACCCAAGGGAGGGATGGGAGGACGGCACGCCTTTATGTATGTATGTAGAAAGATGAACAACAGTCAGGCTCGGACTAGACACCAACGCGGTATGGGTGGATAAATAAGTAAATAGAGCAGTCATCTCCAGGGAGAGATGGGCGACGCACACGAACACAGAGGGTCAGTGCGCACCCCGCCCCGCTCGCAGGGCGTGCAGCACACAGCAACACAAGACATATCTAGGCGCTGATTGATTGATTGATGGGAAGGCGAAACACAGTCCGACCAACGACTGGGACACCAACGCGGTATGGGTGGACGCTAGACGGGCGATGACGGTCACACAGGAGCGACACACAGAACCACAAGACAGGACACTCAGCCAAACTGACTGCCACACATCCTGAGCGAAGTTCCCTAGTCACCCGCGGCCGGACTCCATCCGGCACGCGTCGCTGGGCGCTCAGAGCCGCGTCCCCTGCTCGCCACCCCGACGCCCAAAGCGCCCGAGCGAACGACAGGCGGCACGCGAAGACTGATTGCAATCCCGCCGACCGCCAGGCCGCGGGATGATGCGTGCGTGGTCATGTAGTGGGTCTCGGAAGCTCCCCTCTCGGGCTAGGAGCCAGCCCCTCTCCCTTGCCCTCGGAACACCGCGTCCGAGTCGAGGCGTGTGCTTGCCGGTCGACGGCCGCGCGCGGTTGGCATTGTGACGAAGGTTGCGCGCGGCCGCGGCGCGCCCGCCATGGTTCGGCGCGGCGCGCCTACCAGCGGCAGTTGTCGAGGCACGGGAACGCTTACCCGGGGTCATCCTCTGAGCCTGGTCGTCGGCGCCGCGATGCCACGGCGGCGCATTCGACGTCGTCGGCGCGCTGCCCCGCGGTGAGCCCCGCCGCTCGTAGCGACGGCCGCAGGTTGGCCCGGTGCAGCGCGCCCTGGCCGCAGACTGAAGAACGGCCACGAGGGGTGTGTGATGTGCGGTGCGGGGTGTGAGGGGGCAACGTCTTTGTGTGTGCGCGCGCGCGCCGCTGCTGGGAAAGAGCGGGGCCCTCGGGGTACGCCTCGCCCGGCCCCCTCCGAGGGGGTCGTGATCTGTCGGGGATTAAACTGAGGGATAGGGGCGGGGATCCTCCCTCTTCCCGCCGTCGATGCCGGGGCTCAACCAATCCGGAGAGGTCATTACCATTCCTCCATACATCCTCCCAGCTTCATCGGCGGGCGCCTGGGAGTGTGTCGTCAACTGGCCGGTGGTCTTTCAGTGTGGTGGGGTGGGTTTCGTGACCGTTCAGCGTCGATGCCGCCTTACTTACCTGTTCCCCGCTGGCGCGACCCAGCGCCGGCCAGCGGAGCAATTGCCCGCTCGGTCACCACCCCCGCCGGCGCGACGCGATCCGATCGGCGCCGCCACCGACGGGGCCGCCGGCGCGGAGTGGATTCTCCGTCGTTGCCGGTCGGGGTGTTGGTCGGGACATGGGCGACGCGACCAATGCACCGCTTCCATGGCCAGAGACCCGGTCAGTGCAGTTGGTCGCGCCGCCCCGCCCCTGCGTCGCCCGCCGCCGCGCCGCGCCGCCGCGCCGCGCCGCGCCGCCGCGCCGCGCCGCCGCCTCGCGCCGCCCGTCGCCGCGCCGCGCCGCCGTCCGACGATTATTAATTCATTATTAATTAATTAATAAACAATTATACCACCCGCCGCCGCGCCGCCCCGCACTGCGTCGCCCGCTGCCTCGCCGCGCCGCCGTCTCGCGCCGCTCGCCGCCGCGCCGCGCCCCCGCCCGATGATTAATAATTAATAATTATTACCCGATTATTAATAGTGTGTGTGTTTGTGTGTGTGTGTGTGTGTGTTTGCCTGATGGCCGGGAAGTCCAAGGCAGCTGCGAGCGGCAGGTGGCGTCGGCGACGTACTCAGGACACGATGGCGAAGCCCACAGCGCAGGAGCTCGGCAGCAGCGCCGACAGCGGCCCCGCACCGCGTCGGCTGCGGTCTGAGCGAGACAGCCTGTACTCCTCAACCTCCTTGGCACTCCCCCGACGAGCGGCGCGCTATGCGGGCCCGCCGCGGGCGACGCGGGCGGCGAGCCGACGTGCGTGCCGCAGTCATAGGCAGCGCTGGCGAAGCGAGGAGGTCGCCGCAGGCCCCCGGATGCGGTCGCAGCGAGAGAAGCGAGACAGCAGATGCTGTCGGAAGGGTGAGGAGCAGCCTGCCGTCGAGCGGCGCGCCGCACAAGCCCGCCGTCGGCGGCCCGGTTCGAGAGCAGGTAGTCGTGGTAGTATTGAGCGCGCAATCGCGCCCGAGCCGGCCCGCCCTGGCCCTGTAGACCCTCCCAGAAAATTGGCGATGCTGTACAGCATGCCCAGAGCATACCGGACAGGCTCCCGTCGAGCGACGAGCTATGCTGGCTCGCCGCCGGCGGCGAGCTCGAAGACCCGCGCCGAGCCTCGCCGAGCCTGGCGGGCCCACCCACACGCCCGCGGCCGCAGGCAAGCAAGGCGAGCTTGCTGGCGTCTTTGCCAAGCGCCAGCATGCCAAAAGACACCTCGCAGCGCGCGAGACGTGCCGAGACCGATACGCCCCGGCGCCGCGCGAGCGTCCGGTGGGCTCCCGCACCTGGCGCGCGGCCGCCGCGCGCATTCGCGGCGGCAGCGGCCGGGGGCGGAGCGCGCGCATAGACAGTTGTTATGGCGCGGATTTTTTCAATCAACAAGGCGCTGTGCGTATGGGTGGACGCGGGACCCTGGGTAAAATTCTTTTCGCTCGCGCCATATGGTCGACGGTGGTGGATTGCCCTTCGCCCTCGGTGGTCTCCTCATCACATCGTCGGAGGACGGCGGCGTCCACATTCGTGTCGCGCAGCACGCCGTCGCCTCCGACAGCCTCTCCCACTCCGAGTTCACGCTGCCGCCTCCGGCAGCTGGCTGGCGCTTTGAGGCGGCGGCGACGGTGCTGCACCACGGTACTCGCGCCCACTCGCATGCGGCACAGCTTCCACGCTCACAAATTGACGGATGCGCCTGCTCACCGCGTGTCTAGGCTTCGGGCTCAGGCTTCCCACGCTGTGCTTTCGGGCCGAGGGTCCCTGCCGCCGGTACGGCGTCGCGATCCTCGACGTACGGGCGCGCCGGCTCGTCAACTTTCGAGAGACTGCGCCGTGGGCGGAGGCGGCGGCGTCTCCGAGCGTCGTCGGGCGTGGAGCCGCCGCCGCCGCGAGCGGCCCTCCGTCGCCAGAGCGAGAGGAGAGCCTCCTCCTCCTCGATGGACCCATCCTCTGTGTCGCGGTCTGCGGCGGCGGCGGCGGCGGCGGCGGCGGTCCTGGCGGCGGCGATGGCGGTCCTGTCGGTGGCGATGGCGGCGGAGGCGGCGACGCAACAGGAGACTGCAACGGCCACGGTCACGGCCACGGCGATGGCCCCTCTCCCCCCTCCTCCTTCGGCTATCTCTGTTGTCTTTCGCGGCCTCTGCCGACCGAGACGCGTCCGCGACGTGTCCGGGACATGTCCCGTAGGCTCTCTGTCGTGGCTGCCGGCCTGCGGCGTCGTCGCGCCCGGGTCGGGGAGCGGAGGGGCGGCGGCTGGGTATGCCCCCGAGCTCCTCTCGTGGGGAGAGCATGACGCCCTCCTCTGCAGCCTGCCGCTCGCCCCGTCCTTGCCTCCTGCTGGAGCCCTCCACGAACCTTCCTCGGAACCTGGTCCTAGGCAGCCTACCGCTCGAAGCGCCCTCTCTCCTCTGCCTGCGCCGCGGCCCCGCCGCCGCGCCGCCCCGGCTGCAGCTGCTGCAGCTCCGCGCCAACCCTCCGGGCAGCGCCGGCAGGGAGGGAGGGAGGGAGGTCGGGCGGGAGGGAGGCAGGGAGGGCGGCGTGTGCGTGCGCGTGCTGACCCTCCTCGCGGGCGGCGCTGCCGAGGGGTGGCCCGCCGCGGCTGTGAGCGGCGTCTCTTCACGGCTCGAGGTGTGAACAGGCGCCGCCGCCGAGGCGGTCACTTGCGCCACGGCGCGCCGCCTGCTTTCGAGCAGTCGCTCACGCTCATGCTCGCGTGCAAGCTTGATTTCTTTTCTAGGCGCGCCGCGTGCTGTCGGAGCGGTCATGCACAGCCTTGCTTCTACCGGCGGATACTTCTTTGTCAGGCGCGTCGCGTGTCGTGGAGCGGCGGCGGAGGCGACGCAGACTCTGCCGTCTGCGGCGGTGGAGGCGGTGCCGGGCGGCAGCATGGACGGCAGCATGGGCGACTCTTAGGCGGTGGCGGGCAGCAGCGCGTTGTCGGACTGAGGCTGCTCCTCCTAGACGCGAGTCGTTAGTTGTTGGATGCGAGTCGTCTCCCGCTCCAGCAGCCACAGCGTCCCCGGCTCACTCTCGAGAAGATGTCCCTCGTCCAGCGACGCTCTGCTCCGTGTGGCGCTTAAGGCTGTGGCTCGGCACGGCCAGCGGGGTGGTGCTTCGCTTCTCGGTGGCGGCGGCGGCGATCGAGCAAGCGCTGGACGCTCCGGACGCGGGCGCGGGCGCGGCGGGCGCGGCGGCGGCGGTGTTCGACCTCGGCAAGGGCGCGGACGGGAGCACCTCGCTGCCGGCGGACGAGGGGTTGGTGGCTGGCTTCCTCTGCCGCGAGCCCGTCTTGCTTGAGTCCTTCTCTGACTCTGCACTTTAGGCTGACGCGGGAGAGCCGCGCCGGCTCGAGCCCGCCTCGCTCACGCGCAATCACTGATGCTGACCCGACGTGCAACCATCCACGCGTCCGGTAGGCTCGAGCCACTCTCGCTCACGTGCGCCGCCGACGAGTCTCTAGCCGTGCGGTGCGCCACTCCAGGACAAGTCCAGGACAAGTCCAGGGCGCGTCCCCTGACTTGTCCGAGACATGTCCCGCAGGTGCGCGGGTGCTGCCGCGGGAGGAGAGCCGGGCGCGATCGTCCTCGGCGCATCGGGCGGCCTGGTGTGCCGTCTTGCAGGCGCCGAGGGGAGAGTCATTGTCAGACCGAGTAGCCGGAACCCTGACTGTGATTAGGTGTGCCGTCTTGCCGGCGCCGACGCGTTCGCTGCCGACGATGTGCTTCGGTGCGGACATGCGCAGCTGGTGGCGTGGGGGCTGGCCGGCGGCGGCTGCGGCTGCGTGCTCGTGAGCGCGGCGCGCTGCTTGGGCCGAGGTCCGTGACTGCGGAGCGATTCACCGTCATGGATGCTCGGCTCTGGCTGGACAGGCGCGCTGCTGGGTCGAGGCGTCGGACCACGCGCCCCGGGTGGAGGCCGACTCGCAAGGGGCGGGCGGGTGGCACTGTGAACGGCGTCTCTTCACGGCACCCCGCTGTGAACAGGCCGATCCGTCGGCGGCGGGCCGTTGGCAGCACACCGACGCCATCGCCGCGGCTCTCGCCGGGCGCGCGGACGCGGGTCGCGGCGGCGGTGGAGGCGGCCGCCACCCCGGCATTCAGTGTGCCTATCGCCAGCTTTCCTTTCTCAGGTCGGCGGAGAAGGGTGGCGGCGCGCCAGTTTCCCTGCCCTCCACCCGGACCGCCTCTGTCTCTTAGGCCGAGCAGCGGTTGAGGCTGCCCTGGCGACGCAGCGGGCGCACGGGCTGCTGTACGCGCACGCGCTGCGCCGGATCGCCTCCGCCACAGATCGGCGAAGCGGCGAGGCGAGGGGAGGGAGGGGGGGAGGGGGCGCCGCGGCGGCGGAGGAGGAGGAGGAGCACGCCGACATTGCCGCCGCTATCGACACCGCTGACGCCTCCCCCTCCCCTCTCCTCTCGGAGTGGGCGGCGGCGGAGAGGCTGTCAGCCGTGGGCGAGGCGGAGGCGCCGCCCCCGCCGCCCCGTGCCACCGCCGCCGCGGCCGCCGCGGCCGCGGACGAGGAGGACATGTCGAGGACGCTCATGACATGTCCGAGACACGTCCATAGGCCGCCGCCGCCGCCGCGGAGGCGGAGGAGGGCGGGCAGGAGACGGGCGCGGCTGCGGCGCCTCTCGTGCTTACAGGCCTGCAGCACCGCTTCAGCGCGGGCGCGCGGCCGCGTCTCTCCCTGAGGATGCATGTCCACGACACGGCCAGCACACGTCCAGCACACGTCCACGACACGCGTCCCCTAGGCGCGTGGCAGCTGCAGCTGACGGCGCGCAGCCCGCTAGCGAGCTTTCCAGAGCGCACGCATGGCTGGCTTCGGCGGTCTCTGCAGCCGTGCCCCCCCCCCTGTGCTCTCCACTGCACTCTTGGCCTCGGCACACTGGGGCAGTGCGTGCCGCACAGGGTGCGCCATCTCTCGCCTCTGGTGGCGGCGGCGTGTGTACCAAGCTGGTGTGCACTACACCACGCAGTACTGCGGCTCACCGGCACCCGGTGCACCAACCCGACGCAGGTGCGCAACAGAGGCACGGAGGCGGCCGCGCTGGTCACCGCCGCCCTCGCGCACGCCGCAGCGGACCTTGGCGTGTCGCAGTGCGGCGTGATCGAGGAGCTGCTGCCCGACGGCGGAGCGCCCCCGAGATCGCGCGAGATTGACCCGAGATTGTCTCGAGATTAGGAGCTGCTGCCCGACGAGACGGCGGAGCTGCTGCTGGCGGTGCCGCACCCGCCGCCCCTCCTCCTGGTCCGCACACCTCTTCTCTTCTCGCGTCACCGCTCTCTTGCGCGCAGGTGCCGCTGCCGCCCCTCCTCTCGCTGCTCGCCTCCTCGCACGCCGGCCTCCTCCTCTGCTGGACGAGCCGGGGGCCTCACGCCGACATTTCGCGCGCCGCCGCTCCCGCGGGCGCCGGTGGGTGGGTGTGGCGGCGCCGGCTGCTCACCCGCCCAGCAAGCGAAGGGCTCTCGGGCCGCGTCTCTTCACAGGCCGACTGCTGTGAACAGGCGCCGGCTGCTCACTCGGCTGCAGATCGACCCGGCGGCGCTGGCGCGGGGCACTCTCGCCGCGGCCGGCGGCGGCACATCCACCGCTGCTCCTCGCCTCGGGCCATCTCGGGCCATCTCGGGCCATCTCGGGTCGTCTCGGAGGGGTAGGCGCCGCCGAACCAGCTGTGAGTGCCGCGTGGCCGGCTGCGAGGGAGACGGCGCTGACGGCCCGACTGAAGCCCGACTCGGCCCCTTCGCTCGAGGCGCCGAGATGAGCCGAGATGAGCCGAGATCTCCCGAGATTGCTGCAGCCCGCTTCGGCCCCTTCGCTCGAGGCGCCCTATGCCGCCATCGGGCTGCCTAGTGACGGCTGGGAATGAGTGAGTGCTGAGGAATCGCAGGCGCTCTGTGCTGCCATCGGGCTGCCTCGCTCCGCACTGCGCGTCGAGGGCGGTGAGCGGGTCTTGGCATGGGCGTAGTAGTACTCACGGTCATTACGAGTCACGCACCGCAGCAGGTGGAGAGCGGGGCTGGGCCGGCGGCAGTGCCGCCGCGGTACCGGCGCTTCCGCTGCGCGCGTCGGTCTTTGGCGGCGGCGGCGGCTGCGCAGGCCAATCACGGGAGGTGGAGCTGCTTCTTGGCGCGCCGGACAGCGACGAGACTGATGCGGAGGGCCCGAGATGGAGCGAGATGGCCCGAGATGAGCCGAGATGGCGCAAGAGTAGGCGCGCCAGACAGCGACGACGCAAAGTCGCTCCTCCTCTGCGCCGTGGCGGCGGCGGCGGCCGAGCTGCCGGACGCCGCACTAAGCGGCTGCTCGCACGCGCGGTTGCGTTGCCTGCAGCGACTCCTCAACTGCCTCGCCTCCGAGATTGGGCACGAGATTGCCCGAGATCGCCCGAGATCGCCCGAGATCGCCCGATACTGCCTGAGATTGCCCGAGATTGCCCGAGATTGCCCGAGATTGCCCGAGACGCCCGAGATCACTCCACTTGCCTCGCGACCGAGATCGAGCGAGCGCTGCGCCGAGTGGGGGGAGTGCAAGAGGCTCGGCTCATCTCGGGCGATCTCCGCAGGCGCACGCTCGCCGCGTGCGAGAGGCCGCCGGCGCCCGAGGAGCTCGCGCGCTCCGTCGCGCGCTGGCAGGCCGCCACCGACGAGGAGGCGGCGCAGCTGGCCGGCGTGCTGGCCGCCAGCTGAGCGCGCGAGCAAGTTTCGGACTTCGAACACACGCACGGGACGGCGGGGAGGGCGGTGGCTGCGGATGTAGCTGCGCTCTTCTGGTCGCCGCGCAAGCATCCCGTCCGTGCACACCCCTACTACCTACATCCTGCGCGACTCTGTCTTTGCTGTCTCGTGTCTGTACCGTGTTGCGAGTGTATCTCCAGTGTATGTACCTCAGCAGCACCTCACACAGCACAGTACCTTACGTATAGCGGTTGACTAACCGCCCCTGCGCAAGAGCGCGCTACAACTGCAGTCGGACTCATACTAGCACACCCATATTGGTGCGTCACTAGGCAATCCCCGGCGCAGTCCACGTCGCACGCGCCTCACGCAATCACGCATCCCCCGCCCCCCTCGCCTGGGGGCTGAGCGTGCAAGTCCTCATTGCCGTTTGTGCCGGGGCCGGGGCCGAGGGTCAGAATGGCGAGGCCGTGGACCATGTCCGTGTGGATCTCGCGCTCCACCGCAATCGCCTCCGCCTGCAGGCGCTCGAACTCCTCCCGCGTCGTTGTCGGCTCAAACTGACCTTCGATAGCATCGCAGCGAGGCTGGTACTCGTCGAGCTTGCCCCGCATCGCTGCCTCAACGCGAATGTGGTCGAGGTACATGGAGATGGCGGTGCGGAGTTCGCTCCCCCTCGCGTACTCCTCGGCCAGATGTAGCGCGTGTAGCGCCGTGCTCGCCTCAGGCAACGTCTTCACGGACAGTTTGGCCCGTATCTGCGCCAGCCGATGCGGCACCTGACTGTCGGCCACCTGCAGCATGGCGCAGCAGACACGGCGCGTGGGCGCGAGCTCCTTCGCGGTCAGGAAGTTGAGCACGTCGGAAAGGGTGTCCTGGTTATTCAGCACGCGTTGGAAAGCCACAGCAGCGTCGGATGGGGATGACTCCATTATGCTTGGACAAACCTTGAACACCGGGAACACGGGAGGGGCGTCTTGCCACAATGAATCAACCCATGCTTGGGTGTGGGTCGTGAAAACTCACAGCGAGCCTAAAAGATGAAGTAAAAAAACGGCGGACGAGCTTCCGATATTTCCGGCACGATGGGTCTTTATGACCACTTTCCAGCCTGTATCCTTCTTGACCCACCCGTCTCCGTGCGTGGTCTTTATGACCCACCCATCCTTTCCCAGTCGAGTGGTCGAGCGGTCCGTCCACCTCGGTCTCGGGAACCGTACCCATACTACTCAAAAGTACAATATACTACCACAAAGCACCACTAGCGATTTCGCGCGGAGGGCGTAGTGAAGCGCTGGGGCGCTCACTGTGTGTTATTCGGGTGGGGATCCATCAGTGGTAACCGGCTTTAGTCACAGATCCAAGCTCAGACGCCACACCAACACCACAAACACGCTCACTTCGCCGCTGCTGTAGAGGGCCGCCGGGGGCCCATACTACGTCGAAGTACGGACCCGATCTCGGCCCTCACGGGCTGCCACGCGCCCGCGCGCGGCGCGGGCCGCACCGCCCATGCCCCCGGGTCACCGACCCCGCCTCTCGGCCCTCTCGGCCCTCAGGAGCGTGCGGGAGACCGGCGAGGGGCGCGCCGCGCGCCGCCTGCAGAGCCGCCAGAGGCATTGTCGCCTCCGCTGGCGGGGTTCCCGCGCGCCCGCCCGCGCCCGGACCCGCGCCCGCTGCGCCCGCGGGCTCCGGATGCGCCGCCATCCTTCTCCTTCTTCTCGATGGCAGTCCGCGTGTGCTTGTCGACGGGTCGGCGGCGTGGTCGAGGGGAAGGTCGCCGGCGGCCGCATCTCCGCCGCCGTCGCTCCGCCGGCTCTGACCGAGTATCGGGCGTTGAGGGCGGCGGCGCAAGCGGGTCTGGCGCATCTATCGCCACGAGCGTCGCGACCGCGGTCGTGGCACACCTGGCGGCGGCTCTCGAGGCCGTCTCTACGGCGCTCGACGCCGTGTGAGGTCGCCGGCGGCCGCAACTCCGCCGCCGTCGCTCCGCCGGCTCTGACCGAGTATCGGGCGTTGAGGGCGGCGGCGCAAGCGGGTCTGGCGCATCTATCGCCACGAGCCTCGCGACCGCGGTCGTGGCACACCTGGCGGCGGCTCTCGGGGCCGTCTCTACGGCGCTCGACGCCGTGTGAGGTCGCCGGCGGCCGCAACTCTGCCGCCGTCGCTCTGCCGGCTCAACCGAGTATCGGGCGTTGAGGGCGGCGGCGCAAAGCGGGTCTGGTGCGCCACACGGCCACCACCCTTGCCAGCGCCCTTGCCGCCGCCCTTGCCACCCTTTGCCGCCTTGCCTCCGCCGCGGGCGGCGGTGGGAGCGGCCTGCTGGGCTAGCATGTTGTCCTTGCTGGGGACGGGCACGTGGAACGCACGTTACATGTTTGAACGGCCTCCAGAATTCAAACAAAAAATAGCCAAGGCCTTCTCGCAACCCCTCCGACCCCCCGGGACCCGTGGGCGTCGAAGAGGCGCTCTCGGGGGGCCGTTCTGAGTTCATACTACCTCGAAGTACAATATACTGCGTCAAAGCACCGGCCCTGAGTCCGACCTGACGGCCACGCTCCTTGCGCCCCAACGACCCCCGTCAACGCCTTGTCTAGCGTGTTTCCAACCCTTAGAGGTGGCCCACCGACGCCACGTTGCAACCATTTTCCTACGAGCCCCACCCCGCCGTCGTCGATCGACTTGATGAGTGGGTTTGTTTGTGTCTGTGTGTCGCTCGTGCGTGTCGTCATCATCTGTCTTGCGTCCACCCATACCGCGTTGGTGTCCAGTCCGAGCCTGACTGTTCTTCACCTTACTACATACATACAGTGGGTTCCAGCACTTGACCTCGTAATGCACGTCCCGCATCGTGGCGAATCGCGAGACGCCGAGCAGATGTCGGTCACGGACGGACGTGTTTGGTGAGAGAGATTTTCAGCAATACCAAACAACTCTAACACTCACACATGCGGACGTGTCGTTGATTGAGGTGCCGCGTCCTCTTCCTTGTCCCCGAGGATGATGCTGCCGACCGAGCGCGCCCCCGGATGCCCCGTTGCGCTTGGAGGTGCGGTTTGTGATGTGGTTGGGGAGGATGCTGGGCCGCGGCGAAAAAAAGTCTTTTCTTATCTGCCCTCCGGTAAGCCGCAGGCGCCCCAGGGGGCCCACCCTTTTAAGCCTAGGGGTACCCTAAGCCGTGCGGAGTGGTTCTTTTGTCGTTTTGGTGTGACGTGTGAGACGTTAAACTCTGCAGCACATTGCTGTTTTCCGCGCGAAGATCCCCTGGATTGTGGATAAAATCCCACTTCCCAGCGGGCGCACAGGGCCAACGTGTCGACGCGCCTCGCGCCGCGGCCACCAAAGAAGACGCACGAAATAGCGGCGCAAGCGATTGCTACGGTGGTGCCGTGTGTCTTGTGCTCTGCCTCAATACTTAATACCCGGACGTAAACGCTATCTTATCTACACGCAGAGAGGCACGTAGTACGCGTAGTGGGGCTTCGTGTTTTTAGGGCGCCTTGTCTAGCGTGTTTCCAACCCTTAGAGGTGGCCCACCGACGCCACGTTGCAACAATTTTCCCACGAGCCCCACCCCGCCGTCGTCGATCGACTTGATGAGTGGGTTCCAGCACTTGACATGATTGTGCATGTGCATGTTGTATGTTGTTGTTGTTGTTGTGCATGTGCATGTCCTGACGCCAGAGACGGCTCTCTCTCTCTCTCTGACCCGTGCGGCTTATAGGGTGCCCCTAGGGTTCTGAGGGCCGGATTTTTTTAAAGGCCTTTTAAGAAATGAGGAGATTTGGGGGCTGAAATTGCCATTTAAGAGATTGCAGGCACGGGGGGTCCCTCTTTTAAGACCGTTTAAGAAAATCGGCCTCACCGGCCCTGCGTCGCTGGGTTCCGCGCCGTTTTCTCCAATACTGCCGTTATTAGGCACAAAACCGCCTCTGAAGACACATCTGTAAGCCATACTCGCATAGGGGGCGCGTGTGCTAGCTGACTGTAGCCAGCTTCCCGGCCTCCGGCGTCCACCGGGAGCCTCCCGGACCATCGACCTCGGGAGCTCTCCCGCACCGTTTAAGCGTTTAAGACCGTTTAAGGAATCGGCGGCCCAGCAGCTCTTAAAACCTGCCTAGGCAGGTTTTAAGAGCCGTTTAAGAACCCACGGGCGCTTTTAAAAAAAAGCTCAAAAAAAGAATTCATCGCGGCAACGTACTTGAGTAACGGACTTTGGGAGAGCTCTGAGACAAGCCCCAAGAGGCACTGTACGTACTCCGAACTACCGTGCCACGGTGCAGCCACACACATACTACACCACCTCCTCCCCCACCCGGCATCTCTGCCCGCCCTGCGCGCCCCTCCTCTCAGTCCGCGGCACCAGCCTCAGCAGCGAGACGACCGACTCGTCGGCGGGCGTCAGCGTGCGCGGCGCGCCGTCCCTCAGCCCGCGGTACAGCATGTGCACCGTCTGCGTCGCGACCTGCAGCGCGCCCGAGAGCATGGTGCAAAAGACAAAGGCGTGTCCCGAGATGACGAGCAGCTCGTCCGCGGCGTCGATGGCGGCGTGGTCAAGGGACGAGACGTGCGACCACGGGTACGGGAAGGCCTCTCTCGACTCGGCGAAGGTGAGGCCCTGCCGCAGGCCGGGGGGCGGAGAGGGGGGCGGAGGGGGTGAGTGGGGGGAGGCGGGGGGCTGGGCGTTGGCAGTGAATGCTTGTGGGGTAGGCGGTGAGCGGGTCTCACCTTGGCCACCAGCCGCGCCGTCTCGAGCGACCAAACCAGCACCGCGACGCTGGCCTGATGAATGATTACGGACTAATAAGTGGCATGAGGCAAGACTTCGACCAGCGCCGCGACGCTCGCCGCGACGATGGAGAAGGCGAGTGCGAGGAAGAGGAGCTGCAGGACGTGGTACCTGATGAGTCATCGGCCACTGTGACTGAGGAGCGGATCACTGCTCAGAGAGGAGGAGCTGCAAGGACTCGCACCCGTCGGGCGACACGAAACTGGCGAGGTTGGGGAGGTGCGGGGCGTAGGGCGAGGTGTGCGTGAAGTAGCGCGAGAGCGAGACGGGAATCTCGACGGCGCTGAAGATGGCAAGGCCGAGGACGACGTACCTGAACACTCATTCGTGATCCATGAGTCCTGAGTTCACACAGAAGGCAGGTCCGAGGAGGGGCGTACGGCGCGACGCGGGCGAGCGGCTCGAGCAGACCGGGCAGCGACGTGTCGAGGACCGCGCCTGTGAGGAGAAGAGGGCGGCGGGACTGGGGCGGGGAGGCTGTGGAGGGCTGGCGGCGGCATGTCGCGGGCCGCGCCGAGGATGAGCGCGTCGAAGAGTGTGAGGTTGATGAGGAGGAAGAGGGCGGAGTAGCCTAGTTGATCATGGTCGATGGTCGATGGTCGATAGTTGGTTCTCAAGCGGTTGATGAGGAGGAAGAGGGGGGGGGGGGTTAACCGTACGCGACGCACGCGAAGAGCCTCTGCGCGCGCGGCTGGTGCGACGTGTCGGCGTCCTAAGGGAAGGTTCGGAGGCGGTTCAGAGGCGGTTCGGGGAGAGTGCAGAGCCGGGCTCGCTGCGACTGGTTGGCCTTGGAGTGGAGCAGCGGCGGCACGGACAGGTCCCACTCCTCTTTGGACAGGTCGTCGCGAGACCTCTCCGGGGGCGGCAGGATGGCCCACCCGAGCGGGAGAGAGACGACGTGCGATCCTCCTCGCTCGATCCTCCACCCGTACGGCTCGAGCTCGGCGAGGGGGAGCGGGCGCGAGGTCGGCAGCTCGAGGTCCTTGTCGCGCAGCCAGTCGACGATGCAGCGCCCGCGTGGCGCGTCGCCTGGCTCGTTGCGCAGCCAAGCCGCAAAGTAGCACGAGAGCGCGAGGGCAGCCTCGGCGCGCCGGTACCCGTCCGTCGAGCGGTCCGTCCCCAGCATCGCGTCGAGCACCTCGCGCACCACCAGGGCGTCGCGCACGTCGAAAGAGTGCAGCCACGGGAGGTCAGCGCGAAGCGACTCGACCAGCATCGGCTGCAGCTTGCGCAGGAAGAACAGCCGCAGCCAAGCGCGCCGCCGCCGCCGCAATCGCTGCCAGTGCTGCCTCCACCGCCGCACAGCCGTGAGTACAGCCGAGAGTGCCGACACAACGCTGCGCCACCCGCCGCTGCCGACTACGCCCACGCCGCCGTCGTCGCCGCCGCCGCCGCCGCCATCGCCGCCATCGCCGCCGCTGCTGCTGCGGTTGCCGCCGCCACCGCTCTTGCCAGCTCCGCTGCCGCCCCGCCCGCCGCTGCCGCCCCGCCCGCCGCATGGCCCGCGCGACTCCTCGAGGGAGGGCTCGGCCTGATTGAGAAGGAGCAACGGATGAGCACTGCGCTGGCAGCGAGGCGGCTCCTCGCGAGCGTGCTCGGCCGAAGCGGCGAGCGCCGCGCGCGAGATGCCCTCGTTCATCGCGAGCAGGACCTTGGAGGCGTTGCGCGCGAGGGCCGTCTCGCGGCCGAGGGCGGGGAGCAGGTCGCCGATCGAGCCCGACACGAGGACGAGGAAGATGGCGGGGGCGAGGTAGGGCGCGAACAGCATCCCCGCATACATGACGCTGTTGAAGTAGGCGAGAGATCGCACCTCGCGAGAGATATAGCCGAGATATAGCCGAGATATAGCCGAGATATAGCCGAGAGATCGCACCTCGCGAGGCGGCGGCGCCACCCACGGCAGCGCCGGCGCGAAGCCGCCCGCCTGCATCAGCCATCGCTCGAAGCGGCGTGCGGGCTCGCCGACCGCGTACACCGGCAGCTCGCGCTGCGCGACCACGGCCGCCTCGAAGGTGCACCAGAGCCGGAACGGGTACGACAGGTTCTCGCCTGGCCGCGCAATCGGCAGCCAGAGCACCGCAGACGCGAGACTCGTCACCTGGTGAATCATGGACGAGTTGAAACTACTCATCGCTCATCAGCACCGCAGACGCGAGGCTCGTCACCGCGGTGAGGGTCGAGCAGAAGGCAGAGTGCTCGTACTCGCCTGCACACTCGCGAGGGAGGATCAAAACACGGGTTGGTTGATCCGTCAACCCTTTCTGCGGGGGCGGCTGGCCCTCAAAGCGGTGGCACCACGCGTCGAGCCAGAGGTACCGCACGCCCGCCTTGCGTGCGGCCGCAGCGATGCGCGGCAGCATCGCCGGCGAGAGCGTCAAGCTGTCGCCGTCGCGGCACGCCTGCGATTCAGTCGGCATAAGTGGCTACCCCGCTCTGGTCCATACGTGGCTACCCCACTCTGGGAGGCTCGCCCTCTCACCTATCAAGAGCAGGCGCGCGCGACACGCCCGCCGGTGTGTGTGTGTGTGTGTGTGTGTGTGTGTGTGTGTGTGTGTGTGTGTGTGTGTGTGTGTGTGTGTGTGTGTGTGTGTGTGTGTGTGTGTGTGTGTGTGTGTGTGTGTGTGTGTGCATGCCTGTCGGTAGCTGACGAGCGCGAAGCACGAGGCTGGCGGCCGCACCGCCGCCGCACCGCCGCCGCCCGAGCCAACCTCCACGCGCTCCACGAACCTCGAGTTGTCGCCGGCCAGCGCCGCGGCGGTCGCCTCGACGCCGTCCGCTGCGATGGCCGCCTCCAGCACCGCCACCTGGACCAAGAGCAGCTCTCGCGTCCGCGCGACGCCGGCGCCAGCGAACCTCGCGATCTGGTAGGCGGCGTCTCCGCGCACGCGGGCCACGGGCGACGAGGCGGACGACGACCGCGCGCTGTTGTTGGACCGCCGCCCCGCCACTCGCTTCATCATCCGGCTGCCCACGTCCCGCCGCGTGGAGTCGGAGCAGAAGCGCTGCGCGCCAGGCGTGCGCGCCTCGCGCAGCTGGAGGAGCCGCAGCACGCCGGCGGTGGCGGCGAGCAGGGCGGCGCAGAGCAGAGCGAACCCCGGCCCGGGGAGGAGGAAGGAGAGGGTGTAGTGCGGGTAGCTCGCAGGCACACTGACCATCGCCAAGCCGCTGATGACTTGCACAGCGAGAACAACCCACCACTCTGCGGTTCGGCTTTCCGTGCGCAGGAGACTCGCAAAGGCCGGTGCAAAGACGCGAGCGCTTGGGTGCGCTGCAGCGGATCTGGCGCCGCTGGACTCGCCCAGAGTCAGAGTCGAATGCGAGGTCTTGGTGATGCCGTCCATCTGGCCAGGGCCACTAGGAGGGTCGGCGACCCGGCTGAGACCGCTGGGCGAAGACATTTGGCGTTCTCTCGACGCGTCCAAAGGAGCCCCAAAGCGAGCGGCAGCGCGGAAAAAAGAATTTTGCCGCTCAACTGAGGCGGATTTTAAAAAGGGGAGTCGAGTGTAAAAAAGGCGTGATAGTTTCTGCTCATTGGACCTGCACGAAAAGAAAGAAAACAAGACAGCACGCCTCCCACAGGACCCGTGATTGCAGACAAGAGCTGTGCTTATCAAATGGCAACAAACCGGCTGAAGCCGCTCAGCCTTTACTTTGTTGGCATGGGCATCTTCTCGTTCTTCCTGCTCTTCGGCTACGTAGCAGGCGACTGTGACTCGACGCTCGCAATCATGGGCTACAACCTGCTCGGCGAACAGCTTGCCCACCCTCCGTGCGGAACCGGCGCTGTCTTATTCCTGCGTTTCGTCGAGGCGATGTGGTTTGGGACGAGTGCAATGTTCGTCACGCTGGGCGTCGCGCCAAGGTTTGGGGTCCCGGTCTCGAAGGAGATCTACGCCATCGTCTTCTGGTTCTTCCTGGTGCCCGTCTTTCTTGGCTACATCCTGGCGTTTGTCGTCACAGAGATTGAGCCCGGCAATCATGCGCTGCTCTCAATCCCTGCGTCCCTGCGCGCGCCGTGGGCCACCTGCACTGGCTGCGATAGGCGTCAAGTACCCGTTCGTAGTCAACGCCATCTACCTCGTAGCCTTCATCGTGGGTTTCCTTCTCTGCTACAAGCACGATGATGCAGCGGCACTCCTGCCGACAGAGGGCACCCGCGTCAAGCGCACCTCACCCGATGGAGTCGGCCTCCCCACCACCGGCAGCGACAGCGGTCACGAGCCGTTTTGGGACAGCCGCCAAGATCTGACTCTAACTAATCGTCTTGCGCGCCAAGAGAGTAGGCGGCCGCCGGCAAAGCGTGTGCAAGGTGTTGAGCCAGCTCCTCGGCCTCTGAATAGCTTCTGGAGGATAGGACCGGCACCTCGGACAGCTCTCGAAGCGAGACAAAAGCACACCACTTGTACGGGGGGCCCTGCGAGTGGGGCGGGAGGAGGGAAAGTAGTAAGCCACCCCGGGCATGAAAAGAAATCTTGCGGTTGCGCTACTTTTGCTCCTAGAGCGCCCTCACTAAAGACGAGGCAGGCTGGGCAGGGCTCGGCGGCACACGGCGGATGCTGTGTGCGTCACTGGGCCACAAGTTTGGTTTCGGCAACACCCTCGACCAAACCTTGCTCAAGGTTCTTGGGTGCAAAGAGCGCGGCCACAAGTCACAGGGCCCGCTCGTCCATGCGACCGGCAACAAGGCTGGGTCAAAGAGCACAAGGGACAGTACTACGACGCGCTCCATGTCAAGAACGGAATCGTCAAAATTTGTCTCGTCGCGCCGCCAACCAAGAGAATCATCTTCAACTTCGCCAAAGAGGTCGGCAGCCCGAGCGCCGTCGACCGCACCGACTACGGCACAGCCTCCGGCAGCGCCCGGGGCTTCGCCCAACACCACTCGCAACAGCTCTCGCGCGCCGCCGTCAGTGGCGATGCGCAAAACATCAACAACGCTGCTCGCAACATGCGTGTCGCGCACTCATTCATGACCGGTCTCAATGCCCCACCCCCCTGCGCGCGGGCCTTCTAAGCCCGCGGGTAGCGCCCCCCCCCCACCCCCAGCTGCCTCCAGGGCGGCTCGCACCTCAACCTCTCTACGGCATAGGTGCAAATTTTCTTTTTTTGGGCAAAAAACGGGTGATTTCGGTCATCCGTCAGAATATCTGATGATCCTAATATATGATTCTCCCCAAACCTTGCTCAGCTGGTCCAGCATGGGCCGTAGGCCAGGCCTGGGTGCAAAGAATTTTACAACAAAACTCCCTCGCCCGACACAAAGAAACCAGTACCTCAACCGGCTTCCCTCGCTGAGCGTCACAGCTCGGTGATCGCGCCGGCCGGACACCACTGTAACGTCCGTTCCGGGCATTTGAACGCGACCTTCGGGGGCAAAGACATGGGCTCTATGCACTATGGCTCAGACTGTGGACTCCTCTTGGTCCCTTCTGAGCCCTAGGGCACACCTGGGCCTTACCTGGGGCTCTAGGGGCCGGGCAGGGTTTGCCCCCCGAAACTGGCATGGGGAACCTTAAAGAGAGGTTACAGGTGGGGGGGGGGAAGATCTGTTAGCGGTAGATCGGCGGGAGCTGCAGGACGTGACATGTGTGGATCGAAGAATCGATGATTGTTTGAGTTTGCGCTCGAGAGTTTGCGTTTGCCATGATCAAGCCCGCCGACGCTGCCACAGGGATGGTGGACTAACGTTGGCACGGTGTTTAAACGTTGCATGCACATGCACATGCACATGCACATGTGGATCTGTCGGCGGTGTCAGTACGCGACCGATCAGGTCGGAGGTTTCTTATGGTTAGAGGGTCTATCTGTATGTACTCCTCGAGATCTCTCCAAATCTGCCCTCTGGTTCCGTGATTATTCGGGAAGTTGGTAGTATGAGCGAGTATGAGCGCCGGGGCCCCGTTTCCGCGCTGCGGCGCGGCGCACGGCGTGCGCCTCCACGGGGGCCCCCGGGCGCTCCCCCAGAAGCCCCCCGCATGGATACCCTCTAGGGGCCCCGCGCTCCCCAGGGCATCTCACTGCTGTGAACACACCCCGAATCCACATATGGGGACTAGAGCATATTGAGTAAGTAAGGCTCTCTAGATGTGGGGCCCCACAATGCACAAAGTAAAAGCCGCGTACACGTGGTTAGCTATTCCGTACTGCACTCGTCAACATACTTGATATTCCCGCGCCTGGTCTTGTTCATCTTGGCGGCCTGGCCTCGTGTGATGCGGATACAGTGCCGCTTCTTGGTCGCAGTGCGCGCGCAGCTCGCCCGGGCGGCGTCGTTGAAGGTGGACGTCATGGTGCAGACGATGTAGGCGTGCCTGCGGCCGCGTGCGGTCGCCTGCGTGTCAAACAAGTTCTCCGGCGGCGGCAGGAGCAGCGGCGAGCCGCACGACATGTGCGCATTGGGCACGTGGCCCTTGTGAAAGTGCCACTGCGCCGCCCGCGGCGACGCGTTGCACGCGGGCCAGTCGAGGCCGTTGGCGCAGGCCGAGGCCCACTGGCACGCGTGCACAAACATCGGGAGCGGCTCGCGCGCTCCGGCGGCCGCCGTCGCGGCGCTGAGGTTGGAGCAAGCCACTGAGTGCGGCAGCAGGTCAAAGAGAGTCTGCCAGCCCTCCGCCAGGCGCGGCGACCCGCCCACCGAGGGGTCGGAGACCATTAGGCCCTTTAGCTGCGCGTGTTGCAAGCCGGCGTAGTGCGCCGCGAGCGCATACGCGTACTGTGGGGGGGAGGCGGGCGAGCGTCAGGAAGTCCGAAGGTCGGTGGCGGCAGCTAGCGTCTGGGCGGTGCCTAGCGAGGCTCTATCGGCTATCTTGCGAGCAGATGTGGTGCGGGCTTGGCAGTCGGAGGGCTCTCGGAAGCCACCTGGTCTGCCAGGATGGATGGCCAAACCCGCTGCGTCACGCGCCTCATGTAGTAGATCCAAGTGCGCGCGATTGCCTCAAAGGCGGGAACAGTGAGCAGGTACGGGACGCCGAGCGCGTAGTGCGCCCGCGCCTCGGTGGCTGTGATGTTGGGGCAGATGTCGGCCGTATCACCGGAGCAGATTTGGCCGAGCCACCGGTCGCCGTAGCCGTACATCTGAGCCGTCGGCAAGGCGGGCATGCGGCGGGCGCCGCCCCACGCGACGAAGCCATCCGAGTCCATGATGATTACTGCGTCGCGGCGAGGCAGGCGGATGGTCTGGACGAAGCGCAGCAGCAGCCACGGCTTGAGGATGTAGCCAAACCGCTTCGCGAGCGGGTCGGTCGGTGGCGCGTGGTGCGACACGGAGAAGAGCTCCTCTAAAAGTGTGTGCGCGTCGGCGTCGGCGTCTGGCGCGCAGCCACAGAGCATCGAGTACCGCATCCAGGTGGGAGCGCGCACAAGCGCCGTTTGGCCCACCGCGACGAGCCTGGCAAGGTGAGGCGGCGGCGGTGAGCGCGGCATAGGTGAGGGAAGCAGCCGTGAGAGAGGCGACCGTTACGGCGGCGACGT